AAAAATAATTTAAGGTCACAAAGTGGAAAAAGGGATAAATAAACTAAGATATAAAAATAAATTAAGGTCACAAAGTGGAAAAAAGGGGCTAAATAAACCAAGATATAAAAATAAATTGAGGTCAGAGAGTGGAAAAAGTGTATAAATTAACTACGGTTTCCACTTCTAGTGCTTTCCATCCTGTAGCTGTGGAAAAAGGATCACAGCGTTTCAACTTTGACTCAGTCCAGGTGCATAAGGTCAAAGTTAAAGTCGCCATCCAATTGTGAATGGTCTTACCTCTCAACTCGGACATACCAAACCGAATTTGCTTTCTTTCAGTTTTAATTTCTTAGTAGGGCAATTCTTTACATTCCTGGATTTGGGGAATGAAGACAGCTAAATTGAGTATCCAACTCATGGACTAAGGGAGTCTCCCTCGCTTGTTAATCTAGTGAACTTTCAAGAAGAAATTTTGATTATCGTCTAAGTACATAAATTAGGTTCAATTTTTTAAGTTTTGGGATTAAAATTTTAAAATTTACAAAATGATGTAGAGATGAGCTTTTAAAGCTGCTCGAGAAATAAAATTTTTTAAAGTATGTACAGATCAATATACAAATACTTTAATTAGTAATTAGTTAAAATAAAATTAAAATAGAAAAAAGATAAAAAAATAAAAAGTAAAATAGAAAATATAGAAGTTTGGTACATTTAATATACCAACGAGATATATAATCCTTTCATAACATTTTAAAATTCTAATTTAAGACATTTAGTTTACAGTTATTGGTTCAAATTTTTATATGTCAAAAAAAACTCCAACTTAAAGTAGACATCATTAACATTTTTTTTTATCTTAGTTACATAATAAGAGTTATTTTTTTTAAAATTTTTTATTTCACTTTATTTGTTTTAAAATCTTTTATTTTTAATAAAAAATATTATTAAGTTATTTAAATTATTAAAGATGTCATAATATTTTTTTTAAATAGATTAAAATTATTTTTATATATTAATTAAAAAAATTATAAAACTCAAACACATCACATACAA